TGCCCTGTACTTCCAGTTGGCAGTGATTTGTCACGGAACTTTCCACAGAGATGTGTCGTGACCTTGTTTCCACATCTGTACTTCAAACACCTGAAATAAATCCTTGAGGATGTGCCCAGAGCTGTCCCATGTATCTTCTTCTCCTCAGACAAATTCAGGGCTATAAATTCTACCACAAAATCAAGCTTCTCAGTATCAAATGCTACCATGCTGAGGAGCAGCAGAGTGCTCAGGTCCCTTTGGGCATGTGGAAGGAAGCAACGTGGGAACAATACAGACAACTGGATGCTGCAGGGACTTTTATCCTGTCACTTAATACAGCCTCTGATATTTCCCTACTGCTCTCTATTCCTGCCTCCAGCAGTCATGAAGCCCTTTCCCCTTGACAATGAAAAGGCAAAGAAAGTCACCTCCTTACATGTGATTCATTTTTAGCCAATCAAGGCATACATTTGCATTTTTAAGCAAAATATACACACCAAATAAGAAAATGTAGGGATAAAAGCCGTTTAACTAACCATATACACTGAAAAAAATCACCTTATCACAAGAAACTGGGATGACTCAGAAAATAAACGTAAATAGCTTCTGTGATTTAGCACCGACTGGCACCCAATGTATTAAAATAAATTGCCCATGATTTCTCGCAAGCTCCATGCTAATGCACCCCACAAAAGGTCAGTGATAACAGCAGCAGTGCATAACTAGCTAGAGGCTTCGCTTGGTGGCAAATAATGGAATGGATTGTCCCCTGACCAGGATGGAGAAAGGAAGTTAGTCTGCACCTCCAGCCTTTCAGGGAATGTTCCAGGGTTGTAAAGCATGACTCAGCAGCGTTGCTGCTATAGAGGATTTTTCCTAGCATGCTACTGGTAACACAGACTCTGCCCTCCACAGCTTTGGCATGCCAGCTAAGTGTCCATCAGGAAATAGCATTATTTTGTATGAAATGGGACAGATTAATTGATTACTATTTATTACTATTTATTCATTAACATCTTAAATGTCATCACTGATGATCATAATGATGATCATAATACAGCAAAGAAGAAAAAGTTAAGCTGACGGGTGAAGCTGGGAGAAATAAAATCTTAGTAAAAGTATTTTAACCTTTTTATTGTTACTGCTACTGCAGTAATACCACAAACACCTTTGTTACTGCAGCTAAGACAAAACCCACCATCCTAAGTCTCGTGATCAAATTTCACAGCTTCCTGCAACCAAGGATCTCAGTCATTTACAAAGATGAATACTTCTGAGAAATACATTGGCATTTCTTTGTCTGTTTCAGAGACAAAGAAAAAAGGAAAAAAGGAAGAGAAAGAGGACACAAACTTTCAGGAATTAACCTGGCAGTTTTCCAGCTGTTCACAGGAACCAGAGGCCTGCACCTAATCAGGTGCACCTTTTTACTCCAGTTGAGGCCATGTCAGCCCAGCTCCTGGTCCAGTTCATTCTCCATTGGATTCTTGTGCTTTTATGATTACTGTCTTGACAGGTTACACAAGGTCCTTTTTAACATTACAAAACCAAACTTCTGCTAACTATCCCTGGTTTTGCCTATTTAAATGCAGCTTGACAGAGAATTAAGGACAGAAATTTTTCTTCCTAGAAATGAAAAACAAAATTAAACGGAATTCTTCCTTTACATGAAGAAAGCACTGCCATAACCTCCTCACCACTCAGTGCCTCTGACCTTCCAGACAGGCAGCACACGCACACAATGGCCAGAGCAGCTCTAGAGCACACCGTGCCCTGCCCAGCTGGCAGCACACAGAAACTGGAATAGTGGAAGCTCTGGCATGGGAGGAGATGCAAATCCATCTGAAAGAACTTTCATCAAGATGTATCAGCTCCAGTCATAGTCACTGAAAGTTTTATGTAGATTTTGCTCTCTGCAGCTAGTAACTTTTGAGTCCCTTGACCAATTTCAGCCTGTTTTGTTACAGAGGTAGCTGCCTTCCTACACATCCCGTGAAAACTGACATTCAAGTAGAAAAAGCAGATCCTGCAAGTGACCCTGCTCACATTGCAGCTGAAAGAAAAGCCATAATATAGGCTTTGCTATATTTGCCATCAAACCATTTGCCTAGGAGACAGTCTTTCTAATCAGTAAAACAGCAGGAAAATCATCACTGAGAATCGTTCATCATCAAGCACAAGACATACATCAAAGTCAGCATCATTCATTCCAATGCTCAAACCATTGCTTGTTGTTCCATGTAATCACAGGACAAACAACATCAGTCCTGGTGACCTAACCCTAGCAAACAAACCAGGGATGTTTAGACCCAGCCTAGAAGAGCCATAAAGCCTCCTTACCTCCTCTGTGAGGGTCATCAGGAGCAGGGTTAAAAACCAGATTACCATTTCAGGGCAGGGGCAGACACAGAGGCCCAAATTCACTCCTGGAGCTGCTCCCTGCAGGAGAAGCCTGGGGCTGAAGTGACACCACGTGTTCCCTCTGGATGCCTTTGGCTCATTTGGTCACCATGTCATATGTTTAATGGAAGGTGAGAGCCAAACATCACGTCACCCTGGGTGAATGCTTGGAGCCCACACACTCTAATCCAGAACACCTCATTGCTGCTGCACACTCTGGCTTCTGTTGCCTTTTGTATCGGCTAGCAAAATGTTTTTATTTTGATATTCTTTTTCTTTTGATTTCTTTTTGATATTCCAAGGCAACCCTGTGGCCACAGGATTTTAAAGTCCTGTCAATCTAGAATTAATTCGCTTTTTACAGGCTAAGTATCCCTTACTTCTTCATCAAGAAAATTGTATTGTTTTAAATAATTTCCATTTCTGCCAGTATAACATTTCATTTTCTTCTTTGTAGCCCAAAGGAATGATTTGTAACATGAATCTTAAAAACCCAGATAAAAGGAGGAGGCCAAAATGACTGCTAAATCAGAAGTACAAAAAATGTATACGTATTTTTATATGTAGTAAAAAAAAAATCCAGTCTCTACCAACTCTGATTTAATAACAAACAGCCAATGCCCTTTCTTTGTTTTTAAATATCACAGAGGACTGAAAAGATGCTGTGCACAGGAGATAAGAGACATTTCCACAGCAGATGAAAACCTACTGGGATCTGAAGAGATCACATTGTAAAAAAATTGGATTCTTTATCCACCAATACTATAAAAATTATGTAGTTCTACTTGTCTGCTAACAATGCTATCATTTCTATTTGTGGGAGATCCTTCCTTTCCCCTGCTCCAGTGCTGCAGCAAAACCTTGGATTCTGACATCAAGCCCAGGAAGCAATATTAGTCCTTGAGACAGAGTTTGCAAAACATTAATGAAATCAGAATGAGACTGCAGTTTGGCTTCTTGCCTTGGACAATGGAAATGAAATTAAAAATAGAGGGAAGAGAAGGGACTTGCTCTTAACTAAAATCAAATTGTTGAATGCATTTTTTCACAAATTAAAGCAGCATTTTAAACACTATTTACTACAGGCTTTTCTATATCAATGAGTTTAGTGATAACTGATACCAGGAGGAAACAGTATTAAAAGCAGCTAAGATAAACTAGCAAGTAAAGAATTCCTTTCAATTATTTTATTCAGCCAGGAAAATCTATTAGGTAAAAGCCTTCTGCCAAAGACAGAAAAACTACAAGGGCTAAGAGAATGGAAAGATGTGCAGAAAAGGGAAACAAATAAGAGAATTGTACGTAAGAAAACAGGAGAGAGAATATCTGGAAAAATTCACAATGTTTTCCCTCAGGAAACAGCATCTATCAACCAGTCCTGTGGTTCAGTGATATTGATTATTCATCACCTTTCTGAGGCATGCTTTGCTATGAGCAGTGGCCCACACTTTTGACAGTGCTCAGGTTCTGGTTTGGGATTCCTCCCTGTCTGGGGAGTCACAATGGCCATTTCAGGAGCCCAGGCTTTCTCAAAGAATGAAACATAACTTCCTGTCCAGAAAAAAATTCTATGTTTTTTTGTTCAGGTTTTTAAAAGGCCCCCTAAAACTTCAGACTAAAGACACATGCATATTGTGATTGCACACATTCCCTCCAGGTCTAAATGCAGACCTAAGAAGTATGATCACCTGTAGGGCACCATAACAGAGAAGAACCTCATAAAGTCTGCTTTTGTAGGTGTTGGGTGAAAACTGGCACCTGAGAAGTTAATTCAAGATGGATATACCTTTTTCTCTCTGCATCAAGGTGAAGGGAGCAGATTTTCAATCCTGCCTAGATTTTTTTTGGGTTTTTTTTTTTTTTTTTTTTTCAGCACAGTCCTCAATGCAAATCAATGAAATCTGTATTCCTTAGCTACCTGACATACCTGGAAGTCCAATACAAAGTAACTTAAAGATTTTATTCTGTAACATTTTACCTCCCTCTTTTCCTTTACAGGGGCAAAGGCTTAAAGTAACCACAGCCAAAAGGTACTAGGGGAACAGGACAATAAACTGCTACTCCTGGGAATTAGGAATGACATTGCCAAAAAAACCCAGCTTGTTTGCCTCCTTTTGATACACAGACATAATTTCTGAAGTGTCAGTGGTATGTGAAAAAGCCATCAGACAGATGCTCACCCAGCACTGACAGCCTGCTGGAACCATGAGCTGCTTTCCTGGGAGAGATTGTACCCGCTTGGAACAAGCCTGCCAGTTTAACCCTGTCCTTGCTGATGCTAAAATCAGTATTAGAACATCCCCAAATGTGATATGAGAGGGGGCAGCTTGCACCCTCGCTGTACTAACACAAGACAATAGAAAAGCATTCATGTTCGTATCTCACCCTTTGGTAGTTGCAGCCAAAAGGGCTAATTAGTTGCCTAAAGCATATATTTACACATCACAAATAACTTTACAGTGCCTGGCACAACAATTTGAAAATCTCTGCGAAGCTGACAAAAAAAAAACCAAACAAAACCAACTATTGTTTAAATCAAAAAGGAAAAACCAAAATAACAAAGAGCAGCCCACACCCTGTGCTACATTCATTCCCACATTCAAAGAGAGGCATCCTACCTTTCCGATCTTTGAACAAGAGGATTCCAATCAGCACACTGCGTCCAAGACTATACACTGAAGAATCTGCTAATACAAAACAAAGGGAGGGGCAAAAAAACCCTGAAAACATTGCATTTTTGCTAGAAAACAGTTTTTAGCTATGAGAAAAGTTTTTCTTCTATCATACAAAGAGAAAAAATGCATACACATATCCAGTCATCTGTGTATGAAGGTGTGTCTGCACACAACATTCACTATGCATGCATCAATGTATAAACAGATCCACAGAAGTTTATTACCTATTAATTTTAATTCATCCAGCGTGCACTGCTACAGATTTTAATCTACAGCAGACAAAATCCAAAAAGCTTCAGCATAAAGGTATAAATCTCTCAAATTCTCAACAAGCAAACAAAGCTGACATTTTTGAAATAAAATCATTACCAGCTCATCTGCTGCCATACCACAAAAGCCTATCCTTAAATAACTGCTGCATAATCATTCTCCCGGAGTGTTGTTATCCATCGGTCGCTGCCTATCCCCAGCCAGACGCAGTCTGCAAGCCACCAGCTCGTATCTACCATGTGCACGTCAGGAAAAGGAAAACTGCAAATTAGCAGAAGTCCCCGCAGCGGTGAAAAGGAAAAGAGGGTGAGTGGGAGAGGAAGAGGGAGTTCACTGGCCACAGAAATTTCCAGAACGACGCCAAGGCAGCCAGCTCCGCCATCATCCACTTACAATAGGATGCTGCACCTCGCGGCTGCTGAAGCGGTTTGTCAAGGGCTTGCTGGTATCAAATGCCTGACAGGCATTTTAATTGCATCCACCCAAGTGTGTCCCCAGGAATCGGGCCTTTAATGCTGTGAATATCATCAGCTGCTTTCTTTTGTGCTGCTGCCAGACACACACAAGGCTGCACTGCACACAGGCAGCAGCGCGCCCGGGTTCTGCCGCGATGCTGATCCAAACCCCAAACAGGGTTTATGGATGGTACATGATAAAAAGGAGGTCTGGAAGGATTTTGTATTTTCTCCTTTAGAGATCAAGAAGGCAATTCACTCTCCTTCTTTTATTTTTCTATTTAGTGCTGTTCACATGTTGGAACCAGCCTGACAGTGCTATTTGAGCCTTGCATTTGCTTATGCACACCAAGGGGAAATAAAACCAGGGAAAATGCAGAAATGCTGCAGGACTGTAGGGGCAAGCGAGGACCCTTCAGGATTAATACAAGAGTATAATAGTTCACTGTGGGCTCACTGCACATTTCAGCTCAGACCTAAGTTATTTGTGAAGTGAGGACTTCAGTTTTACTGCTACTATTCAGTTGTTGTGACTGCTATGATCTCATCTCTTTATTCCAAGGCTCTCTTCAGGACAATATTAATCTCAGTAGGAAAAGGAACCTGTGAATTTGGAAATCACCCCGTGTTCTGTGAGCAGCTGGGGGGCTGAACAGCTCAGGAGGAGTAATAAAGAACAGGTAGTAAAACATAAATTATTTTTTTTAAAAAATATGAGAAAAATGAAAAGATGAACTGGTTTGTTTTCAAGCATTTTTAGCATTTGCAATAAAACAGCATACACAGCAAAGGAGCAGTCAGTCAGGAGTAAGCAATGAGCCCAGCACACGCTTAAGGACTGAAGACAAGCTTAAATTTCCCTGCACTCAGGACACACGAGTCAACTAGGTTCACTCCCCAGCAGTAAGCTGCTGTTTCTCAGTCCCTGTGACAGCAGAGCATTTGACAGGGAAGGCTATCAACAGAAAAATGAAACCTCTCCCTATCACAAAATTTGGGAGAGGTCCAAGAAACCCCATTTACCCTTGAGTGCACCAAGGGGCTTACAGGAAGGAGTAACAAATTCCCTATTGATTACCAGGGGCTGTCTCCCAAAATTCTGGGGGTAGAGGGCTGCAAAGGGAATCAATTTCCTTCTGCCTTCCCCCACAACCACAGGATGACTTCACACATCCATCAACCGTTGCATCAAACAGAAATTCCACCCTCGCTGCTATAAACAGATCTTAGTAACTTAAGTGCATCTTTCCTGAGCTGACAGTTTTTTCCCACTCTGTCAACCACCACAGCAGTGAGGAGGATGAGGAAATGGAGGAAGGTAGGCTGTATGGGACAAGCATGACAGTGGAGCAAGTACCACATGGCAGCAAAAAGGCTTTTTGGAAGGAACAGGAGAAAACAAGCTAGAGTGGCATTAGCACAATTCTTAGACCTTTCCTCTGAAAACACTTCCTGTGACTCATGGGAAGGGGTGCCTGCTGCTGCCACTGCAAAGATCATCCTCTGCAGAAGCCAAGGAAACCCTCATCCTGCCTCATCTTCCTCAGCTCCACCATTTGCCAGTTGGTGCTTGTTCACTGCCTTGCTGTGATCTCTCCCTCACTTCTCCAGCTTCCCTTCACTAGCCAAAGCAACCTGGATCTCTGGGAGGTCCCAGCAAAAACATCGTGGAGCTGGGATGGTGGAAGAATAAGAAGTCCTGAAAATTGTCCTGTAATTTCTCTCAGGTTCCTAACAGAACTCCCCTGGCTCACAAGGGATGGATGCACATTGCCAGCCCGTGTCCTGCACCCTGGAGCCTAGGGATGGACCTTCCAAGGGATAGATGCACATTGCCAGCCCGTGTCCTGCACCCTGGAGCCTAGGGATGGACCTTCCAAGGGATGGATGCACATTGCCAGCCTGTGTCCTACACCCTGGAGCCTAGGGATGGACCTTCAAGCAGGTACCCAAACCACCTTCAGGCTGCCCATGCCAGCATCTCCAGAGACACAAATTCTGCTGAAACAGCCCATGGCAAATGGTTTCGTCTTAAGATACTGCAAATAAAAACCATCTTAATCATCAAGTTTGTTCTGGTTGCCCTGAATCATGTTTTCACACCTATAAAAATACTTCTGAAAAGACAAAAGGCATAGGAGGAGAGAGGGATGAAGAGCCTAATCCAGATAGGTGCTAGAACACAGAGAACACTCAGCCCTGTCTGAGATTTAACCTCATGTTTACCTGGCTTACTCACAGAAGTAGGAAACTCATCACATAAAATCAATGCATCCCAACACAGTGAAAATACAAATGTAAGGAAGTTGACAAGTCAAAATCCTAGAAATTATTAAATTAAATTTTCAGCACTGTATTTCTCAAAGAGGAGTAAAGACATTTATCATCTCAGTAAATCTCACCACTGTGACTGAGGCCTGACCTAAACTCTAAAAGATTTTGCTGGTTCCGATGAGTTTTATTTCATTATCACATTCACACAAGATAATGAACTCAATTTCATTACTGTCCAGCTGCAAACTGGGTCCCTCTGTGCAAGATGCTCGGCAAAACAGAAGACAGCTACCATTAAAAATTAGAAGAGCCAAACCCCTAAATAGATAAAAGCAGTGTTCTCACTTTCAGGATAATGAGGGGGTGGGGAAGAGGAAAGTACAATCCTCAGTTTGGGCTTTCCCAAGGTCACACACAACCTCTGCTCCCAAACAGAGCAAGATGCTTCCACAGCCTCAACTTAAGATCTTTCTACCCAAATCACTGCTGAAGCCTTGCAGCCAGTGTTTAACAAAGGACTTGTGGGTTGCTTGCTTCTTTTTTAGCAATGACTGGATGAACATTTTATGCAATGCCTAAAATAACTTCCAATATCATCAGTGAAGTAGATTAAGCTGCATAGGTCTACTGAACAGGAACTGCACCACTCTGGTAAAAATAGCCCTGGAACAGGGCTATATTCTTTTTATTCACTATTGTCTTAGCACTTGAAACAGGGATGACTGCCTTCTGGAGAGCTTAAGAGGAGACAAATGCTTCACCAGACTCTCTAAATGTCTGATCTTCTACAGTAGTAATAAACATCAGACTATCTATTTTACCATCCATCTGAGGGGAAAACTAGGTTTTATTTTTTTACCCTTCTCAAGGCAGTGGAAAAACAAAATAGAAGAGCACTAATTAATTCAAGAAAAGCAGATGCAGTATAGCACACTAGCTCTTTCACCAGGGCTGTGCAGTGAGGAAGGCTGTATGGATGAAGTCACTGTCTTCCTCTCTGTGGTTACTGACAAAACAGAGGATGGATGTGGGGCAGTTATGAAAAACCACAGGATGAGTTAGCAGCCTTTTGTGGGTAACAAGGATTTCAAGGCAGGTTAGAAAGTTTCAGGATGCAGGGGGAGCCTGGCTTTGTTTTTAGTCTTCTCCTCAAAGTACAAGCACGCAGGAGCTGATCTCCCCACCCCATGCAGCCAGGCCAGGGCCCTTTCAATCATACAATTTCCTTTACACCAGTGGTGCCACCAGGTTTATATCCACATCAGATCCCAACATTTTTATGGGACTCATCTGTCCTTCCTCCCAGTCCCCCAGTAAAATAAGCCTGTACTGCTGACATTACCCTTTCCCAGCATTCATCCAAAGTCACCCTCTATTGTGACCAGCTCTCTTGCACCCACTGACAAACACGGGATTCTGTGCAGCATTATTATATAAAGAGTCTTCAAATCACAGGCATATTATAGCCTCTTTCCCCTACTTCAGCTTATTTTTTTTAAACATGTCAGACAGACACTTTCAGGCATGATCTCTCTTTTGTGAATCCTAGTCGACTCTCCTCAACTAAATAATTGATATGTGGAATATCTAGAAAAGGATTTTCTATTTCTCTCTGTGCCAGCATGTCACTAAAATCAATTTGGAAGATGTAGGATATTCAAATACTCCTAGGTCTGTTTTTCAGAACAACCAACATTGCACTTAACCCTTTGAAACCACCAAATTCTTTGACTTTCTGAAGAAATCCTTATTTTCTAGCTTAGAGACCAGTGAGAACAAAAGAATAGAAAAGCAAAATTCATTAAATAAGTCTGTTACTCCCTAAGCCTTGCATGTATATGTGGTAGAGATACTAGTAATAGCTGCAAAACAAGCTTTTGCATAGCTACCCCAAAATAAACCATCCCCTCTGTCCTGGGTACTGCATGGGAAGGGGAACAGCTTTATCTCGCTGCTGGTTCAGTCTGCTCTTTCTGGGGTGCTAGTGGCACTGATAGCTGGGCAAAAACAAACACCCCAACCTCAAAATCCATCCACAAAGGAAAAGCAAAGAGGTGAGTGAGCAATCACACCCTAAAGTTCGACATGGCAGAAGCAAACCTCCAGCTCAGAGAATCACTGAAACATTATGAAGACATCTGATGTGTCCCAAAAGTGCCTTGTGACTGCACTGCTTCTGGAAGGCCATACAAATTTCCAGCTGATTCCCTGTGTTTCCCCTAATATCAGAAGCAGCTGATGGCACCAACCCTCTTGCAGAAACTAATTCCACCTGAGAGTGACTTTCCACAAAACCAGATGACTGCACTGCATCCAGGAATGGCTTTGAAGGCTGTGAGACAGGACTGTGCAGGCAGCACTGCATTAGTGGGAGGCTCAAAGATCACACCAGTGAACACACAGCCCTTGTCCTGATGGCTGTCCACGTGACAAGCTGTGCATCAAAGAGAAACACCAACTGTTTCTCCATCCTATCACATGGTCCATGACTAAGAAAATATTGCAGATAGAATCTGTACCACTTGTTCTCACCTTTTCTCTCTCCTGGCCTACCAGTGGGGTGATGAGTCAAGACAAAAACATGCTTACTGTAAAATATCAAAGCTACTGTAATAGAATTTATTAGTGTGTCAGTTTGTACCTCACTTAATCAGGTAACCTAACGCTTTTAAATTAAATGTCATGTCATAACTTTTAACAGAAGCCTTAGCTATTATTCTATATTAAATTTATAAATAAAATATTCTAAACTAATGAATCATTTGCTGAAGCAGATTTTACAAAACATGCAATTAAAATATAAACAAAGCTGTCATGGTCTTAAAGATATATAAAGCAATGCAAAATACACAGATTTAGCTGTTTGTCTAAACATA